ACAGCTTAAAATGTATAAAAGCAAACACATACCCTGCCTATTCTATTATATGCTTTGTAATTCTATCTTTAACAAATGCTTTCCACCAGTCTTCTCAGAAAATGCATTAAACTAGCCAGTCTGTAATTTCATAGTTTCTCCCTGGATCCCTTTCCAGTCCTTCCTAAGTCGATCATAGTGACTAGTTAACATTTTTGTTAGGTTTTGATCAGCAACCTTTTTCAGCCGTGGGCCGGTCCACCATCCCTCAGACCATGTGGTGGGCCGGACTATATTTTTTTTTTTTGGGGGGGGGGAAATGAATGAATTCCTATGCCCCACAAATAACCCAGAGATGCATTTTAAATAGAAGCACACATTCTACTCATGTAAAAACACCAGGCAGGCCCCACAAATAACCCAGAGATGCATTTTAAATAAAAGGACACATTCTACTCATGTAAAAACACGCTGATTCTCGGACCGTCCATGGGCTGGCTTGAGAAGGCGATTGGGCCGCATCTGGCCCATGGGCCTTAGGTTGCCTACCCCTGGCTTAGAACATCAACTCGTCACTACTATTGGCCTCAGACTCCCTTCGTGGAAAAGTTAGTACAGGCACAGGGATTTGCCTTGTATCTTCTGTAAAGATAGATGCAAAGAATTGATGCAGCTTCTCTAGAATCTCCTTTTCCTCCTTTGGCACACATTTGACTCTCTTGTCATCACAAGGTTTTACTGCCTCCCTAGCTGGTCTCCTGCTACTAATGTCTTTACACAATCTTTTGTTGGTCTTTGTGGGTGGTTTTGTTTGTTTGTTTGTTTAGCAATGTGCTCCTCAAATTATTTTTTTAGCATCCTTATTGCCAGCTTGCATTTCTTTTGCCAGAATTTGTGTTCCGTTTTGCTCCGCTCATTTGGACGAGACTTCCATTTTCTGAAGAAAGCCTTGTAACCTCTAATAGTTTTTTGACTGCTCATTAACCACATTGACATCATATTGGCCCCACTGGTACTTTTTCTGATCTGCAGTATAGATTCTAGTTGAGCTTCTATTATTGTGATTTTGAATAACCCCCAACTGTTCTTGGGAGATTGGACCCTCTTTGCTTTGCCTTTCAATTTTCCTTTTCATCAGATCCATCATTTTTTTGACATTTTCTCTTTTGAAGTCCAGTGTGACTGTGTTGGACCTCTGTCCAGCAAACCATGTAGGCGCGATCTGACATTTGCAACCTTTGTACAATGCAGGCAAGTCGCCATGCATTCAGCATACCCATCACAAATCTAACTATATCTCTAATGAACAAGTCACCCACGACTAGGAGATCCCCACTCCTTGGAGAAGTATCCTTTATGTGAGGGGATAGTTGTTTGCCTCCCAATAAATGGGTTCCTTCTACAGCAGGGTTTCCCTCTGGTCTCCAGTTGTTTTTGGACTACAATCCCCATCATCCCTAACCACTGGTCCTGCTAGCTAGGGATGATGGGAATTGTAGTCCAAAAACACCTGGAGACCCAAGTTTGGGAAACCCTGTCCTACAGTACCATTTTGCTGTTCCTCAGAGTTATACTCTCCTTCCCCAAGGCCCTCACTCCCTTTTTCAGCAGAGGAACTGGCACCCTGGGAATAAGTTACCACTGTCCCATTTATCAAAGCTTCATTCACCAATCCCTCTAACTTTCTCAGCTGCCTCGAGGGGACAGAGTTGTTCCTTGAGGGTCAGGAGCTTATTGCACTGAGCACGCAGCTACAACCTCTGTCCAGGAGGCAGAGAGTCATTCGTGGGATATTGTGCACAATACAGAGCTCCCACCCCCTGCTGGTATTCTACCTGCATCCTTGTTGGTCTTGTTGAGTTTCTTGGATTTGGAGCTTGGAATTGGTTAGGCAAAAAAACTGGGCAATGAAGAGTCGTCTGCACTAGGCTCCCAGCCCTGCGGCCAAATTAACACAGTTGCCTAACTGACATGGTTGCCTAAGTGACTTTGTCCTGGGCGCTTCCCTCTTCCTCATAGAATAGGCTCCTTTGCTTAGAGTGCTCTCTCTAGCCTGGAGTACTTTGTATTCAAAAGCAAAAAGCTTCCAGAAATGGGCCGTTTTATTATCATCTGTGTATTGTCTCCCAACCTTACAGCAGAGAGAGGCAGAGTGTGTGCAGTCACTATGTAATCCGACAGTGTTCTTTTCCCTGGTTCACAAGTATAATCCACTGGCAGATAGGAGCCTTGTCTGCTTAATAGAGGGCAATACCGATCTCATTTCATTTTGGAGGCTTGGTTGTGTCCTGGGAGGGGGGCATTTCAGTTGAATTACTGAATTGAAACAAAAGGAGAGTGATGAAATGATTAGGAGAAGGGGCTTTTAAGTTTTTTTTTTAAAAAAAACAGACCCTTTTGAAACTGCTGGTGGTTTTGGTAGCAACAACAGAGCTCTGCTCACCGCCAGCTGTTCTTCCTTCCCATGGTCAGTCTAGGAAGTAAGAATGGAGGTAGTGCCTCTAATAGGTGCTTTAAAATAGGGGTGTGGGGGAGAAGGAAAAGTGCAAGGAAAAAACCATAAGGACTCCCTGGTGCAATTGCAAGCCGCAATATCTACCCTCAATTTGTCACCTGTGAATGGCAGAGGTCAATTGTTCCTTACTCTGGATGGGAGAAAGATTGGGTAATGTGCCTTGTGTGTTACTATCAAACTCATCTTCTGCCTTCAGAAAATCTCTTCCTCTCAGCCTCTTACTAAAACTTAATTGTGAATCTAAGTTTTAAGAAAAAATGCTGATGCTATTACGTGGCTGTTACTGAAATTAGAATAATTCCCTATAAGAGTGTACTCAGAGGGCTGAGTGCGGATCAATTTGGAAGTGAAACTTGTTCCTCCAAAATTAGGGTAGTGGATTCTACATATTTGGGGGACATTGTAGGTACGCAGAAGGGCATATGTTTGTGAATTAAAAGAAAATAACTTTAACATTAAAAATAAAATAAAAAAACCAAAACTGAATGGAAGGGACCTGTGAGCTTTCAGATTGTTTATGGCAGTTAAGCATATAGAGAGAAAGAGTTTAGTGAAATCAGAAGTCATGCAAACTGTGTATGTGTTACAATCAAATCTATGGCTGGGAACCATGAGGCACAGTGTTAATATGTGAGTTGAAAACACACCCACAGGAAAATGGAAAGGGAATTAACCTGCTTAAGCCCCTAAAAACTTGTAGTAAGTAACCTGGAAGCAGAGAATTTGAGTTGGGGGATGCCTTTTCTTCTCCAGAACTGCATTCTCTCAGCCCATCAGTTTAGGGTCAGTAGCCCTCCAGTGCAGGAGGGAAAGTCCTGCAGCAGTTTGGTAAGGAAAAAATACATTTGACCCTTTTTCTGCCCACTCCCCATTCACCCACAAGAAGCCTATACCAGTGTTGCAAGACTTGGGTTCGGGGCTATCTGAAGCCATAGAGAGGAGGAGCACTTAGAGTCTGGTGGTAAGCAATAGCCTATCATTGCAGAGTCTAGTTTTGATAAGTAGCGGTAAGGATCTAACATAATGCTTCTACTCAGTTTCAATTACTATTGGACTGCTGAAGGGATAACTTCCTTAGTCCTGAAATTTGTGGGATTTTCTTTTGTTAATTGCTACATTACGATCACAGGGCAATGATTTTTAAAGTGGCACAAGGTCATTATTGCATATCTGTTGTGACAGTTCCCTTTTTTAATTTGACAGTTGCCAATCATGATTTGTGGTCTTGGTCCACAGTTCCAGTTCCGAAGCTTGTCTCTCGTCCGCATTGCTGGCCTGGAAGCCTGTGAAGGGTTCCAGAGGCTGAGCACGCAAAGTAGTGGGTAGTAGTTGGGCAGATGGTGAAGCAGCTCAGTCTGCTCCCAAGGGACAAGTTATGCATATTGTGGAGCTAGGCCAGCGTTGTCGGCTTTACAGTCCCCATGGGACCCTATTGGTTCTTTCAGTCACCTGATTCCTCCTGGGATGTAATCTGCCCCATTGCTGTTCACCCATCTGCAGTAGTGGCACTGCAGAGCTGTTAAAATTAAGCCAGTGATTCCTGCTGCTTGCAGGGAATAAGATGCCTTGGTCTTATTGCCAGAGCCCCAGCTGCCTTATATCTAGTTTCGTCCTTGTGTATTTAATGAGAGATTTATTTACTGCATTCAAGTTGCGCCAGTAACCATTAAACGTTTGTTGGGAAAGTGATGTGATACTTGACTGAAAGAGGGCAGAGTCTGACCCTGGTTGTGTAGTGGGGCTTCATGTCCTTGATTTTTCCTGTATTTGCATGTTACAAAATTGGCACTGTGCGCACAGCATTCAAAATTCGCCAGGCACATTTTGCATGTGGTTTTCAGCCACTTGTGACCAAGTGAAGATGCCCGGGTGCTAGGATGACACCTGTTATTTCCAACATTTGGAGGTGCATGGCTGGGGATCCTTGGGTCTTGCCTGTTTTCACATACTAACAACACATCCTGTAAAATGCTATCTGCGGTATTTTATCTGCACAATCAGAACAAATTTTAGGAACCAAAAACTTGTATTGAAAAATATGACTTTTGAGCCATCTAACCCGAAAATGGCAACTAGACATTCCATTTTGGCCACTGTAACCCTGGTTTAAGGAACCATTTGGTGCCTAGCTTATATATCTGAGTTTCTAACAGTGTATATGTACCATTTCTGTAGCGCATAAAGCAATCCTTAAGATATTATTTTTATTTTTATGCACATTTGGTAGCCTTTTAATACACATTTTTGTGAATGGGAGCCTCTGTGTGCCTGAAAAGATTACTTGCTCAGAAAAGCTTTGTAGGCCTATGTTACTACAATATCCTTTTCCAACCCTGGCATTCCCACAACGACATCCCAGCAGCTTGCCAGTAAGATCTATAAGACGAGAAAGTTCCTATTAACTCGATAGTCCATTAAACAGAGACTATCTGAACTGGGGCTACCTCTTGGGACGTGCTGTGTTTTATAATGCAGCACCAACCATTCTGCTTGTTCTTGATTTCAGAACCTTTTAGCTGAGAAGGTGGAACAACTTATGGAATGGAGTTCAAGGCGCTCAGTCATCCGCATGAATGGAGACAAATTCAGAAGATTTGTGAAGGCCCCGCCTCGCAACTATTCAGTGATTGTAATGTTTACAGCTCTCCAGCCGCAGAGGCAATGTTCTGTTTGCAGGTACGTTTATACCCTTGGAAGCAGAACTTTTTGGTCTTCTTCTCTTTTGATCATCTGCCTTCAGTCAATGTTTTTACATTTATCAGTTCTTTATCAGTTATGTAGTCAACTCACATGTTTGTGTTTATCTGTGAGATACAAGTTGAATGTTAATTCATTAGTTTCTATATTCAGAGGACATTTTATGCTCCATTTACAAATTGCAGCAGTTGGGTGCTCTTTAATTTCAGGTTCTTTGGGTTACATATGTTTGTGTACACACACACACACACACACACACACACTTAAACACTTAAAAAAGGCATTCATTATTTCACAAGTTGACTGACTGGTTTCTTCAGAGATCTTTGCCACAACTTAATACAATTTCAGGGCTTTTCGTAACATTCTTCAGCCTTCCTTCTATTGTTTGCACTCGGTGATTGCTGTGGAAAACGTTGCTCAAGTCTATTTAACGAGATGCTCCTTAAAAGTTGCAAATTTTAACCTGCAGTAGTGTAGACTGGATCTTGTTGTTTTGTAGGGGAGATACAGCCCCATGTAATAACCTGTCAATTAAGCAATCTAAATACGTGGGCACATAAAGCACTGCTTTTCACGTTGCAAATAGCTGAGTGAGAGCATACCTGTATGCCTTGTATACTTGCAGTTTCCCCTATAACACGTTGTTGTTTTTAACTGCATATGTTTTGTCTACACATCAATACGGAACCCAGATTCCCCATGGCACATACAAAAGTTCAACTTTTTTTTTGAAGAACACATAAGTTTTGGGGGATGCCACAGGTATGCCCAATGTACAAGTATGCATGCAACATCGGAAACAGCTCTTAAGACATCCACTAAGGAATCACAGTTGTTAGAACATTTGTCAAACTGTCAATCATCTGTGGCTTTTCCATGAAGTTTCACATTTCCTTTCCAGGACTCCTTGTTACTGTTTGGTTTCACAATCAGCTCCTTTTTTTCAGCATGTGAATTCTCAACAGGCCACTGCAGCTCTTTTTTAGAATGACAGGTTGGCATGATGGAATTGGCTTTGCAGTTGGAATGTGGCTTATTGTTGCTGAGAAACTGTATTATCCTCGATGGGCTGAAGTTCAGGAACAATCGGAACAGCTTTAAATGGTTGCGGTTCTGATTATTATGCAAAATAGCCAGTAACACATTCCCTTATGTTGGTCTGTGCATAAATCTTTTGTTACTAGGATTTAATGCTGTACAAATATTGTCATTTAATAAGAGGATACCATTTACTGCAGTGGGGGAGAAAAGGGCTTACGGTTCATGCTGCTGTATGGCATGGCAAAGACCCTGAACACGTCCCATTAATTTCAGTGAAATTCATTTCCAAGTAAATATTAGGACCGCAGGCTTAGTCATTTCTGCAGAATGCAGCTGGACATCTAAAATAAGAAACAATTAACTCATTGCTTCTAGTTCAAAACGTTTAAAACAAATGTGAAATTGAGATTTAGCTTTGCTGTAGGGTACAATATGAATTAAATGAAGCTGATGTCGCTGCACCTGAAAATAATAACATAAAGCGGAAGTTACTCCAATCACCAAGTAATTAAAAGACAGGAGCTGTACGTATAATAGAGAAGATGAATACAGAGTGCTGTGTTCAGTGCATTTTGGAGTTTTTGCTATGAACAACCTAATGGTATTCCACTAAACAGTTCTGCTGGTGCAAGCACTTTAGACAGTGCAACAGAACTTCCTCTCCCTGTTCTGTATCCCCTGAGTTCTGGGTTTCCCTCCAACCCTCCCTAGAAAAGTTAGGGGTTGTATGGGAGTTCACTGCATGCCCCATAGTACCTGCACTAGGGGAAATGCTTAGTTAGATACTGCTGAATGCATCACTGACTGAAGCTACTCTTTTGTATAGCTCTCTTAGACAAGAAGTTGTTTTCAAAGTAATTGTACATTACATATTAATATAGTATTTCTCATATGAATTTTTCCTCTTGGAATTTCTGTACTTTTTTAGCAAAACGTTTTTTTTAATAAGCATGCAATATTAACTTTCTGCATGAAACTGCTCTGAAACAGTCATATTTGATCAATGCATAGGAAATTTCATTGGGCGGTTGTTGTTGTTTTTCCATGTAGTTCATCCTTGAGCTTTAAGGTATTTCAGATACTGAGGATGCATTAAGTTGTGAAAAGTTCATAATTCCCTTCAACATATGGAAATATTTTTAAAAGTTTTCCTTCCAAGGTTGCCCAGAATACCTCTGCCAGCAAGACACATGATATATCTGGGGCTGAAATATGTAGCAGTGTGCTATTGTTTTACTGGAAAGGATGTGATGTGCAGCTCTTTTTAGGAAATTGAGGCATGTGGTCATACCATTGGGTGTGGAGTACAGTGTATTGAGATTCTCATTTTCATTTTTTTTCCTTCTGAGAGTTTTGAGGCAGTATGGCTGGGAAGACAAATCTTGTGTGTGGGCAGTGCATGTGGGAATCTTCAGAAGTCAAAATCTTTGCCATGTGTTCCAAAAAAGAAAAAAAAGTGTGTTTGAGGGGAACAGGTGTGCATGCTTCCCCCACCCTCAGTGTTCCTGCACGCATCAGGCGTGCTCCATGTCTCTTCTCATTTTGAAACTGGAATGTCTGAAGGGGGTTGTAAGCACATTCAGTTGAGCGTGCTTAGATTGTGATCAGCTACCCTGATAGCTCAAGGTTAGAAGTCTCCTTCAAACTGTCCAGATCAACATGGATGGAGGTCAGAAGACTGCGATTGGGCCTGATTCTTGCGCCTCCACTCCTCCTACAGAGTTTATGCCCCTCCCACACATTCTTTTGAATGCATGAATAGAGCTGGAGTGACAGCTGAATGGTTGGAGGACCAAGGCTTCAATGCTTCTCATTGATCCATGTCCCTTCTTGGGATTAGCACAAGGAGAATAAATTATGCAAATTAAGTTGGCCCAGCTAATTTGCTGAACATACTCCAGTTACGGAGCACTATTTTAGTGCATTTGTTTTTTGCAGAGATTTGTTAGTATACATCCATTCATGGCTGACTACAAAATGCTACAGGATACCATTTGAGTATTGCTTTTCTCATCACTTGTCAAGAAGTCAGGAAGTTGGTCATTAGGTCATGATTCTGCCTACCATGTTTTAGAAGTCTGCATTAATGAAGGAAGTCAGAGCATTTGTTAGGTCTGTCCCTTATCATTAAATCTCAGTTGATCATCTCGAAGCTAATGATTAGCTCCATGGAAATTACTTTTTCTGTAATGTAAGGAAACTAAGTGAAATTATCAGATTTGCTCAGTGAATTTAGTTACTTCCTGTACAACTGTGTGGAAGTTTGATCATCAAAAAATGAGGTACCGTATTTTTTGCACCATAGGACGCACTTTTTCCCTCCTAAAAAGCAAGGGAAAATGTGTGTGCGTCCTATGGAGCGAATGCAGGCTTTCGCTGAAGCCTGGAGAGTGAGAGGGGTCGGTGCGCACCGACCCCTCTCGCTCTCCAGGCTTCAGGAAGCTATCCGCTAGCCGTGGGAGACCCAGCTCTCCTACAGCTAGCGGAGCGCTGCATTAATCCCGAAGCTTGGGGCGTGCGGAGCTCAGCGCGCCCCAATCTTCTGAGTGCCGGAAAGGTCTCCGCTAGCCGTGGGAGAGCCCCGCGACGTCGCGCGGCTCTCCCACGGCTAGCGGACCGCTGCGCTAATCCAGAAGCTTGGGGCGTGCGGAGCACAGCGCGCCCCAAGCTTCTGGGTGCCGGCAAGGTCTCACTAGCCCTGGAAGAGCCCCGCGACGTCACGGGGCTCTCCCAGGGCTAGCGAAGCGCCGCGCTAATCCCGAAGCTTGGGGCGTGCGGAGCTCAGCGCGCCCCAAGCTTCTGGGTGCCGGCAAGGTCTCGCTAGCCCTGGGAGAGCCCCGCGACGTCGCGGGGCTCTCCAGGGCTAGCGAAGCGCCGCGCTAATCCCGAAGCTTGGGGCGTGCGGAGCTCAGCGCGCCCCAAGCTTCTGGGTGCCGGCAAGGTCTCGCTAGCCCTGGGAGAGCCCCGCGACGTCGCGGGGCTCTCCCAGGGCTAGCGAAGCGCCGCGCTAATCCCGAAGCTTGGGGCGTGCGGAGCTCAGCGCGCCCCAAGCTTCTGGGCGCCAGCAAGGGCTAGCGGAGACCTTGCCGGCGCCCAGAAGCTTGGGGCGCGCTCAGCTCCGCACGCCCCAAGCTTCGGGATTAGCGCTCCGCTAGCCGTGTCTAGGCTGCGGATAGCAGCCTGCTTCCCGGAGCGTCGGGCGCCCTGAAAGCAGAGCTCCAGGCGCTTCGGGAACACATCCGCAGCGTGGGGAGCCTTGCAGGAATTCCCCACAGGGCTCCCCACGCTGCGGATAGCAGCCTGCTGCCTGGCGGGTGGGGCGCCCTGAAGCAGAGCGCCCCTCGCGCCAGGCAGACATCCGCAGAGTGGGGAGCCTTGCAGGAGTTCCCCACAGGGCTCCCCACGCTGCGGATAGCAGCCTGCCGCCCGGCGGGTGGGGCGCCCTGAAGCAGAGTGCCCCGCGCGCCAGGCAGACATCAGCCAGCCCCACAAGCTCGGGGGACAGCAGGGAGGCGCAGCGCCACTATCCCGCTGTTCCTCGACCTGGTTCGGTTTCCCTGACCTGCTTTTGGGGGGGAAATAAAGGGGAAAATTTTTTCCTTTATTTCCCCCCCAAAAAACTAGGTGCGTCCTATGGTCCGGTGCGTCCAATCGTGCGAAAAATATGGTACCTCTCAAAAACATGTCAAATAAAGTGAGTCTAGTATTTAGTCACTCTTTTGTATGTTGCGTCTTCTGCACTTTATAGGATCTGAAGAAGTTCTTCATTCTCTGACCCTTTTTGTGTGGCAATTCAGCTGCTTCCTTAGACCTTTTGGAGCTGATATTTTGCCAAATTCCTCCTATGCATCACTGTAAGAAGATTGTTAAGTCTTCCTTATGACAACACACTGATCTTGGCAGGCTTTCCAAATGCCCTGAAGCCCAACTCAGCT